CACCAAATCTACACTCTTACCCTCATCTATATAAGCAGTAACCTTTCAAAGAATGTTAAAAGATTTGTAAAGGAAGATTTTCCCTTAGTTAAAATTCTAAACTTTGTTAAATGACTTTACAAAGCATCTTTTAACAGACTTTCTAAAACTTTTCCCACAACTGATGTAAGACTAATGGGTCTATAATTACTGGCACAATTTTTATCACCTCCCTTGAAAAGAGGAGTTACATTAGCTAACTTCTAATCCTCTGGTATCTGCCCACTATTCAAGGACTGACAAGAAATAGTCCACGGGACATGGTCTTCATGAGAAGCTCATTGAATATAAATAAAGCAAACATACATCAGACAGATAGATTAGTAGTTTTTATTGCAAGATTACAAACCATTTTGACTTCAGTGAATTGGAAAGAAGAGAGTTATCAAGTTATCAGCTGTTAGAAGAGTGGAAAATCAATACTTGAAATATCTTAAATGCTTGGCCATGCTTTTTTTTTGGTTGTTTTTGTGTATTGAGTTTATAATTCAATTACTTGTAAATTTTTCATTATTTCTTACTAGAAGAATCCAGATGTCCCTTGAACATGAAACAAGGTCCACAGGTCATGCTCTTCATAAAAAAACTCATTGAGTATTAATACAGCAAACATACACCAGACAGTTAAATTAGTAGCATTTAGTACAAGGTGGAAAATCATTTTTATTTCATTAAATTTAATATACGAGTGGAATTCAATAACAGAAATATAGGCAATGCTTAAACATGCATGATTTGTGGTGCATAAGACCTTGTAACAGTATCAAGAACTTATCAGTAGAACATTTAAATAACATTCAGGTCAACTAAAGGTGTTGGTAATTATCTTTGCAATGAAAACTATATACGAAGTGGTGCTTTTGTAAAGTCTGTGCAGCATGCTCTCCATAAATGTGGGTACTTTTGAAGGGCTGTGATATGAATGCTGGCGATAATCAATGCAACAAATTCGAGTACCTTTACTGCATCCAATGTGACTAAATATGAATAGGCATATCTGTAAGATCTGTGCAGCATGCTCTTCACAAAAGTGGATACTGCTGCAATACGAAAACTGTATAAAGTTTTACAATACAAACACAGAAAAAATCTATTAGTTAAATAAATAGATAAATTTCCTTCAAGTTCACACTCTTATACAGAAGGTTTCACAGGCCAATCAATTTTCACTCATACAAGTTTACTACAGAATTGTACAAAATCTAGCATTTAATATATTTATAATATGCTACTATTCTTTTAAAGCAGTAGGTAGATAACCTATAGTAATCACTCTGTAATAATCAATACTTACTTGAAAATCTGTTAGACTATCTTCTGTAACCGAATGTTGCATTTTACTGCCTACTTTAAAGTCTTCTTCCTTAAGATGGCAGGAATCAGCAGCTATGTATTCTGACATAGGACGGCTTACCAATTCATTAGCTGATTCATTTTTCAAATCTTGAAGAGATTCAATTTCTATGAACTCTTCATCTTTTGTTGCATTTAATTTATCATTTATTTTTTCCTGCTTTCTTTCTTCACCTCCCGACTAAAATTAATAATGATGTTTCAATAAATATGAGAATATCTATCAGAAAATTGTGTATTGATACAAGTTTAATATAAAATATTTGGTGTAATATATATTCCAAAGTCAAAAGCTCTGTGTTATACTCAACCAAAGTCATTCAGAATACAGTTTTACACTTTCTCCAGCTATACATATGCACCAAAACCTATCATATTCTAAGGCTGAACAGTAGATTGTTTCCACAAAAATTTCAAGTAAAAAAAAAGGTACTAAAATTATGTTCACTAAATCTATTAAAGTGTGAAAAACATGGATAAACTGATATGGTTTTTAGAATGTATAAGTAAAAGCACTTGTTTAATTGTAAAAAACAACCCTACATCTATCTCTATACAGTTAGGTTTACATTTTAATTCATCTCAAAATAAAGGTTAGGTCACTCAATAAGCTAGTTTCCAGAGAAATATGATTTAATATAAGATTTGTTTTAAAACAAAAAATTTGTCCAGCAAATAAATAAAATTACCATACTATACATGAAAGTATAAAGATTATAGTTGAAAAAAACAATTACATCCTCTGACTCCTCTAAGTTCAGCAAGGGATGAGCTTCTTTATGACTCTGCTCTTCAATAAGTGTCCTCATAGGCTTAACAAGTTTTGTAACCTGGGGACTAATTCCACTCAATGGCGAGGCTGAAATAAAGTGTGATTTTAATTTACATATCTTGATTTAAGACAGTTGAGATATTTATATACACAGGTGTATGTGTATACACTTAGGTACAAATGTGACGCTAGCATTAGAAGCTACTAAAAATCTAGTAATACATAAAAATTAGCAACACAAAAATCTAAGTTATTATTTACCTTTCATGTACAGAGCATTATTTGATCAAAAATCTATAAAAAGCAGGCATGTCATACTACTCCATAAAAGTTAAGTATTTCGGGCTCAAAATTATTGTTCATCAGCATTACTGCTAATTTTGTTTTTCCTAATCAAATTTAATTTCATAAACAGTTACAATGAACAAAAATGTTGGTTGTAAGTGTAGATGTATAAACAACGGTCCTCATATCTTTATTACTGTAATCAATTTTATCCTCTCTCTACCTGACCAATCAAAAAGAAATAATAAGCTTTGATTATAAATATAGTGTTCACTACAGGGAGTTTTACTGCTCTTTACTTAAACAATCTGTATATGTTAATCTTATATATACTGTGAACCACGGTGCCTGTCTGAACATTTGTCTGTCTCCTGTTTCAAAAGCTGTGCATGCAGGCAAAGCTCAACATTCACTTTTGAAATGACGGGAGAACAGACATGAATAATGTTTATGGGAAATTTTATTTTGCAAGCAGGATATTCTACATAAAATTGTTAAGAATAAATCATACCATTATTTACATTTCAAAATTTGACATAACTTAAAGAATAAAAATGTAGATTTACCATATGCTATTGTTGAATGGCTCTTAGCATGACTGAAATGCCCAACAATTACTTTTCATAGTGGGTGGTATAAGTAACTCAGAGCTTTGGCTCTGAGTGAAACCAAGAGTGCAACACAATTAACTTTTTTAAAGTCCATGAAATAATTTAAATTGATAGATTAACTTTAACTTTTCTCATCACTGGGGATGGGTACATTTGCTAAGTTAACTTAAACTTTTCCTGTCACTAGGGATGGGTACATATGTCATTGCAGGTGCAAGACATGGCACTATAAGTGGTATGTTCAGAACCTATATATTTGATTCATTGTAAACTCAGAACAATGCTGACATAATTCGACTAAAGGGATATAAAAAACCATTTTTTCAGAAACTATTGTATATGTAAGTGACAAAATAACTTAAGTCCAATGGTTATTTCCACATTATCTATAATATTCACTTAATTGATAAAAAAGATATACAAGTATCCATTAAACTCTCTAATTACAAAACTTTAAAGTTTGTTCTTTTGAGAAACATGACAATTTAAGACATCAAAAACTACCATGCAAATAATTTTAATGCATCATGAAACAAATAAAAATAATGCACATACTACCAGTCTACACAAAACATTTCCATTACATCAATCATGCTGAGAAAGGAAAAAAAAACCTGTAAACAAACATAGCAGTAAGCTTCAAAATGTAAAACAAAAAACTTTTCTGCACACCACATACTGCAAGATGTCATCAACTTAGAAAGAGGGATGCAACACTAAACACACACTATCCAGCTGTTGGATAATAACATACATTTAGAATTTGTTTCCTGGCGAAGGCTTAAATTCAGACTGAAAGGAAGATTCAGAAAGTTTGGACGGGCTGAAAGAAAATGACGATGTTAAACTTTGACAAAAATACAAGGAAACATCAACATCAGATTTGGATAACAGATGTCGAGAAATATTATATATTGTTGAATTCATTGATTGTCTAATACTAACTTTGGCTTTATAGAACAGAAAATGAAGCGAATGTTTATTAACAATCTTAATAACAATAAATACAATGCAATATCTTAATTAAGGGTGTGAGCAAATAAAATTTCTGAAAACTAATTTATATAATTTTGTAATATTTTCTGGTTAGATAACTAATACTGCACAAGATTTTATTGTAATAATGTATTTCTATAATAAAATACAGGATCATTATGTTACTGTGTTTAAATGGTTGAAATTGGTACTACTGTAGTGGTCTCAATATCAAAAAAACTACCTGGAACAAGCAAATAGTGCATAACTACTTTTAAATTCAATAATTTGCAATTATTATGGATTTTCCTAATTACAACTCAATATAGAAATTACTTATTGTTATGTTATGTAGATAGTACTAGTTTATAAATCTAAAAAGTATCAAACTTACTTAGTCCAAAAGGACTTCCTTCTGTATTGATATTAGAAAGCCCTGGAGGTGACTTAATTTCCTTTTTACTGAGCTCCCTAAAGAATGTTGATTTGCACTTGTATCGTTCTAATGAGTCATTAACAGAACTGGTTGAGAGGTCAATAGCCGAGTCTGCTCGGAATTGTTCCTCCAATGTAGAATAACTGAGTTCCATTTTCACGAGCTGTAACAAACAAATGTTTATGATTTAAATTTTAGGCACTAAGTTCATAGGAAGCCATAGAATTAAAATAAAATTAACTCATTGCAATAATTATTAGACTAAGCACATATTTCACGAAAATGTTTACAATTATAGTCCAAGTTTTCAATCATCAAATGACTAGAAAACTAAAAGTGTTACATTAACAATTTTCACTTATAAGGTTACTTTCATAGAAATATGTTTCTGATAAAATAACTTAATATTTCATTAAATGTCCAAATGATTATTTTTTTTAGCATTATATGCTATTATCAATATAAATCTTTTTCTTCCAAAAATAATTCATTCTAAGTGAATGAAAACTAGGGAGACACAAAAGACAATCTCATGCTCGGATAATTTTCTGGACACACTCATACAAGAACAGGTTGCTGACTTGTAACAATTCAAAAGCACTAATTGTTTATACCTTCTGAGAGAGACAACTCTTTCAATGTGAGTGTAGCATTGTATGTAATATTCAGACTGTGTTTTATGTACTTATTTTAATGTTAAAACAATATATTGGACTCTGAAGATGAATTCACCATAGAACCTGGAATGTTATCTCAACACCAAAACAAGAGAGTTCTACAACACAGTCTAAATTTATTATGCATGGAAATATAAGTTAAATAAAAATAATGGAAGAGCAAGATTAATGATAAGCAATGTCTTCTCAACACTTACTTGTTTCTTGGTTTTTAAGTTCCAGCACAAAGGAAAGGAAGAAAATATTGTTTAAATTGTAATTAAAACAGAATTCAAAGTAACTACAATACAATATAAGAATTTCCACTCAAACAATATATATATATGACAAAATATGACATTCAGTTTGCTTCCCGCCTAATATTTAACATAAATTTTAAATTAAATGAATAGTCATATGTAAAGGAAAGTTTTGTGAATACACTACTAATATAAACTCCTGTTCCATCTAGAATAAGTTTGCACAATCAAAGAAATAAATTATTTAAATATGAAATTGGTTTCATAAAATTTAAGTGTAGGTAATGTTTCACATGTTTCAAAGCAACTACCCAGATTTAACAGCAGTTGGTTCTAAAACAATCATCCGATTGGACAAATATCATACAAGCTACTGTTGAGACTACTAATTTCAAACATTTGTGTCTTACTATAATAATTTAACAAATACTGAGAGCAGCATTGTTGTTAAGGGCCACCTTATTATCATTAGTCTGAATATTAATGTTTGTTGTTAATTTCAAAATTATTTAAAGATAACCTGAGACAGAATATTTGAAATGGGCTGATAAACTTAGAGCAACTTTCAAGAATTTCTAGTTCTTCATTATGTGAAATGATTGCGCACAAGACAGAAACATGCATTGTACAGAGAAGAATAAAGACAAGTAATACTCAGTTGTCACTGATTTATTTAATTTATATAATATGTAACTGGAATCAAAATCAGCATATTTATTAATCCCTATGAACAACTGAAGAGTTAAACAAATTTGCATACATAGAGCAGAAACTAATTTTGTACGAGACAAAAAATACAACAAAACTCAAAATGGTTTAAACTTTCTCTTTTATATACCAAGTTAAGAAAAGCATAAAACATAACCACACACAACAATGCAAAGCAAAAATGAGTAAATCACCTACCTGAGCAATGTTAGGAACACTGGCAGTTTTCCTCAATGGTCGACCCTGAGATGCAAGTAGCTCTTTCACTGCCACTTCCTACAAACAATATATATATATATATATATATATATATATATATAGATATATAGTAACTAACTAACTAAATTATTTAGTTTACTTTACCTAACTAACTATATACTACTAATTACTTTACGTTTACGTTACCTTACGTT